GCCTCAGGGATTTTAGATGAAAGTTTGAGGGCCTAGTCTTTACATGTTACAGTCTATTTGTTTCTAGATTTAGTGACATCATTAAGAACAATTCTAATTTTCTGTACTGTACAGACTTAATATAGTCCCTTACTATTCCTTTTTCTTTCAATTGATTTATGTATTTCTGACTTATGAGAAATTTCTAAAAGTGAATCTGGCTTTGAACTTTTAGTTTCTTTGGATTTTTACAACCCAAGTAATAATAGTTACTAAAGTAAAATGGTAGAATTAACAAAAATTAGTCAAGTATGGTTTTGCTTTCCTAAACTACCTTCTGTTTGAAAGTCTGCTGTATTTAAAAGTGACTTTAATGATATGTTCAAAACATTTCTTTCAGGGGCTGGGGAGATGGCTCAGTGGAATAAGTGCTTCCCTGGCAAGCGCAAGGGCCTGAGTTCAATCCCTGGTTCCGCCAAAAAAAAAAAAAACAACAAAAACAAAAACCTATTTCTTTTTATTTAATTCAAATGCATCTGACCTAGCAATGGTGGTACACACCTATAATGCCAGTGACTTTTGAGAGTGAGGCAGTTTTGCAAATTCAAACCCAGACTGGGCAATTTATTGAGAACGTCTCTCAAAACAGAAATAAAAGTGGTAACATATAGCTCAGTAACATAACACCCCTAGTAATGATCTCAAATATATTTTTTTAAAAAATAACCAAAACCCAAGTAAATTATTAAATTCTAGGCAACAAATGATTTGGAGCAGTATGACAAGACTCGACATGAAGAATTTAAAAAATATGAAATGATGAAGGAACATGAACGGAGAGAATATTTAAAAACATTAGATGAAGAAAAGAGAAAAGAAGAAGAATCTAAATTTGAAGAAATGAAGAAAAAGCATGAAAATCATCCCAAAGTTAATCATCCAGTAAGGATTATAACTATAAAACCATTTTTACACAAACTAAGATTTTGTACCAGATAGAATTTTGTTACAAGTTATTAGTACTTAAGTTTTAATTAATTCTTCAAAGTTTCCCCAAACTCATGCCTTATTTTGAGTCCATACAGATAGATTATATTTTGTTTTGAGCAATTTTTTAAAATTGGTTCACAGGGAAGCAAAGATCAACTAAAAGAGGTATGGGAAGAGGCTGATGGATTGGACCCTAATGACTTTGACCCCAAGACATTTTTCAAATTACATGGTAACAGATTTGATACAAATATTGATATTTATATCTGCTGTTTGAAAAAATTATATTTTCTTTACTCCTAAGTGCTTTCTACCAAGATTGATTATTGAGTCCTATGATAGTAAATGCCTAGAGTTTTTCTCTAGGGTACTATGATAGTCTTTGTTGCTGATAGATAGTATAAAATATTTTGGATCAATAGCTATCTTTCTATGTCCATTTATTATTGAGTGACTTATTGCAAAGTTCCTGTAAATTGAAGGTAATTTTGTGGCTAGTTACTTTGTATCTAAATATCTTTATACTACAATATTAAATTTTTAAAAAAAACCAAAAAAACCTTTACTTTTACTCTATAGCGTATTTGTTTACAGTATATTTTTGAGAACATGAATAAGCTGTTTATCTAAAAAATGATCATAGATCATAAATATAGAATTGTTTTTACTTGGGCTGCTTTGAAGTTTTGTGAGAAAGGAGAAATCCCCCTTAACATGTTATTTCATGTTAGCACTAATCTGCAAATCGTTTGTAAATAATTGCCTTGTAATTATTTATTTTCTAAGGGTTTAAAATCCATTTTTGCATCTGTAACTTCTAAACTTTAGATGTCAATGGTGATGGATTCCTGGATGAGCAAGAATTAGAAGCCCTGTTTACTAAGGAGGTAAGTTAGTTTAATAAATAATCAGTGTTCGTATTGTCTCATTTTACTTAGTCATTTTCTTGTCACTGAGACACAGTATCTGACACCCACAAACTGAAGGAAGAGAGATTAGTTTGCCTTCCAGTTTGTAGCGGTATCAGTCCCTCATTCACTGGCTCCAAAGTAGGATGGGTGGGCTAAGGCGGAGAGTAGGATGCAGAGGGTCATGGCAACCAGGAAGCAGAGTGTGAGGAAGCGCCAGACCCCACCTCCAAACAGGTCAGCTGCAAACCCATAATCCGTTCACCATCCATGGCCCACCATGAGCACATGAAGGTCTTGGTGGGGGTCATATGTATAGATGTAAACCATAAAATGTTTCCCCTTCCATTACTTTATCTTCTTTCTTGTTGATTTTTGAATTTTCTTGTTAGTTGGAGAAAGTGTATGATGCCCAGAATGAAGAGGATGATATGGTGGAAATGGAGGAAGAAAGGCTTAGAATGAGGGAACATGTCATGAATGAGGTATGCTTTAAAAGTTTAAGATTTTTTTTTTATTTCTATGGACTCTTCAAGTTCTTGCAATAAATCTTATGGTAAGATGGAAAAATAAATATACAGAACAAGTATTTAATTGAATTTTGCATTTTTGATTTATCATATGAATCACTTTGTATAAGTAAAGTAACTTATAACATTAAAATATTTTAATTTATACTTTAAAATATTTTTAATAGGAACGATGAGATAGCTCAGTGGACTAAGCACTTGCTTAGATAAGTGCAGGGGCCAGAGTTCAATCCCTGGCACTGCATGCCATGTCAGCCCCAGCCCCAGGGCGTGCTGAGCCCCCAGTGGAGTCTGGGCGTGGTAGCACATGCCTGTAATCACAGCACTAGGGAGGCTGAAAATTAGGAGGATCACTACAAGTTTGAGCTGTGTAGTGAGACCCTGCACACACACACACACACACACACACACACACACACATATATATATATATATCTCACATATAAAAATCCTTATTGGGAGGTAGTTAGAAAAGTTAGGTTCAATGTTTAACATTTTAAAAACCTACATTAGCCTTTAGAAGTTGTGTATGTCATATAAGAATCTGAACATAAAATCTTCTAAAATCCAAAACTGTTTGAACACTAAGATGCCACAGGTAGGAAGCTCCGTTCTGCATCATGTAATGTTTCATGCACCAAATATTTTGTAAAATTGTGTATCTCTAAGCTGTGTGTGTACATATATGAAACATAAATGAATTCTCTTTGTAGAGGGATTTAATCCATAATGCACCTCATTATGTATTTGCAAGTATTCCAAAACTCCCCCCTAAAAATAAAATTTAAACACTTGTTCCATTCATTTTGGATAAGGGCTGTTCAACCTATACTAAGAGAAACCCAAACCTCAAAACTCTTTTCTGGCTTCTGACAACAGATACTCATTTTTATTTATTTATTTATTTTTTTGGTCTTCTTGAGACAGGTCTTGCTATGCATTTCAGGTGGGCGTTGAGTTTACTTTGCAGCCCAGGCTAGTCTCAAACTCACAGCGATCCTCCTGCCTCAGCCTTGTGAGTGGTGTGCGAGTGCTGTAGGTGCCACCATGTCCAGGCTCAAATACTCATTCCTTGTTTCCATCATATAAACTTAAAAGTTGACTTCAGCTAGGTGTGACAAACAGGCTGACTTGGCAAGCTTGGCTCTATATTTCTTATTTCCAGACTCTATGTCATATCAAAGATGTAAGAAACCCCAAACCAAATACAAATTTCAGACTTCTCAATACTCAACTGTAGCAAACCCCATGTCCACTTATATCCTTGTGTGAGGTGTGACCATATTAGGCCCTTGTCAGTGAGGAGGGCTATCTTCCTCCCACAGGGTGTATCAGCAGTTACGTGCCCCTAGGCAGGCACGTGCACTTCTGTTCCAGTAGGGAGCACTGTTGCAAACAGAAACTCAAAACCATCAGAGTCCAGCGCAGTGTCTCACCCTGCCTGGCTCCTGACATTTGGCACATCTGTCACCTGTTCTTTCTTGATGTGATTTCTTCACTTGGCCTCTGAGAAACAAGACGTTCTTAGTTTCTTCATATTCTCTTTCTTGTCAGTCTTCTTTGCCACCTGGTACTCTTCTCCCCAAGTTCTGAATGTTTCTATGCCTTGGGCCTGTCTCCTTTCTATGTTCATTCTTTCCTTGGGTGATATATGAAGTTCTGTGTTTCTCTCTGCTCTGTAATGCCGTGAATGCAAAATTATTACCACAAGATTTCTCCATGTGTGAGCTCCAGGCTTGTATGTTTGACATTTCCCATGGCAGGTTCAATGTGAATCTTCTTCAGATGTTTGACCTTCATTTCAGCAACAGAATCATGACTCATGCTGTAGCTTGAGCCACATCATTCTTCTCTCCTTTTCTCACACCCTGCTCTGACCCTTATCGCTCCATTTTTATCCACCTTTCCCACAATCCAGAATCTGCCCACTGCTGCTACTTCCAAGTCTATAGTTTCTCTGCTTCCACTCCTTAAGCTGTTGCAGTCTCTCCTCCACGCAGCAATCAGAATAATTCCGGAACAGCATAAGGTGCTTAGGCCCTGGTGCTCTGGGCTCTGAATACCTCAGTGGCTGCCATTTTACTTAGAGTGGTGGTGTGCACCTGTAATCCCAGCACTTGGGAGGCTGAAAACAGGAAACTCACTAGGAGTCAGATCTGTGTAGTGAGACCCTGTAGACCCTGTACTACATACATTAAAAGAAAGAAGAGTCCCAGGGTCCCCTGTCCTGATCACCACATGATGGCACTCACCCTGGCCTTGCTTTCTCACCTGTACCTTATGTCCCTGTCTCACTCTGCCCTGGCCACATGGGCCTTCTTGGTGTTTTTCTTTCACTAAACTCTCACTTCAGGGCCTAGAACTGAAATCTTCCTCTCTGTGGGACACTCCTCTAGATCATCACAGGGTCTCACTGCTACTAGATCTGAGCTCAAATTTTCATTCCTCTGAGAGACCTCATGGTCCCCTACTTAAAATATTTCCCTTTCTTTGCAGTGTTTGACCTTTTCTCCTCCCTCCAAGCATAAAAGTGACATGGACGTCATATGCATGTCACCTTAAGCTCACTGTTTCAGTGTGGTGATTTTTCACCTGAATAGTTGAGCTGTTACTGCTGAATTGGAATCTCTGTTGAGTGCTGGCACCCCAAGTTCCAGTGAATTTCTTTGGCCTTTATAAAGTTCACCTTTGTAATTGAGTTTGTGAGTTGTATCATTTCAAGAAAAAATGCTAAGAGCATTTAAATTGAAACTCCTTTATGCTTAGCTCAAACATTATAAATTGGTGCTATTTTTGCTCAAGCAGTTGGTTGCAAGGATTACAGAGGCTGGATGTGGTGGTGTATACCTGTAATCCCAGCATTTGGGAGGCTGGCCAGCCCAAACTACCTAGCAAGTCCTTATCTGAAAACAATAACTCACACACACACACACACACACACACACGGATTTTAGATATTCTAGATATTCTGGTGAGACAGCAAGACAATAAATACCAGCCCAACCAGTCACATTTATCTATTCAAATGTATCGATCTTTGGACTATGAGATACATCAGTATTTTGTATTTTCAAATTGGAATTATAGATGGGTGTTTTTTTGTTTTTTTTTTCCAGAACCGGGGATTGAACTCAGACCCTTGTGCTTACCAGGGAAGCGCTTATTCCACTGAGCCATCTCCCTGGCCCCACAAATTGGAATTATAGAGAAAGACACCCATTTTCTCGCTTAGTATAATGTGGAGAGTTTTGTTTCAACTTTTTTCCCCTCTAGTTTCTATGGCTGTTAGTCTAGTTCTAATTGCTGTATATTTATCTAGAGGTGTTTATTAGAAGACATATTAATATTGGAATAATCTATAAAAGCTGTTGTTTTCCTTTAATCAGGTTGATACAAACAAAGATCGATTGGTGACTCTGGAAGAATTTTTGAAAGCTACAGAGAAAAAGGAATTCTTGGAGCCAGATAGCTGGGAGGTAATAAAACCTACTTTAAATGGTATATGTAGTCAAGAACTTTTGTATCAGTTTATTCTCTTAACTTTTATTTCCTGTTATGCTTGTATCACATAACTGTTTTTAGTTCTTATAAAGATTGCAGCAGTTGATTTATTTGTAATCATAGTGTATATAATTAGAAATCTTAATTATACTTTTTTCTAAGTATAAAATAAAATGATAAAAAATAAAAATAAAGTGATGGGCTAGGTAGATAGCTCAGCAGCACAGTGCCTGCCTTGGAAGCACAAGGTTCTGAGTTCAATTCCAGATACCAAAGAAAAGTTACTGAAAATATAAACATTTTAAATATTTATAAAGTTTATAAAATATATAAACACATTAAATGAATAAATTAGAAGTCATTTGTCTCTATCACTTAGATGTAGACACTTAAATTATTCATAGTATTGGGAATATTATCAGCTTATACATATACATATGTATATTATTCCAGATTTGGCCAGTGAGAGTTTTTTCAGGCTGGCTTTTATGGACATTTTCTTTTTTAAAAAATATATATTTATTTTTTTATTGAGAAATGAATATAAGTGAGACAGTTTCACAGCTGATTAATAGGACAGTTTTGATAGTCAATACACTGTACATTGTTATCTTCTCAGTAGTTATCCATAGTACAAGAAGCAGACAGGATATTCTGTCCAAACACTGTTAGTACACCTCTTTCTTCTCATTGAGTTAAGCAAAAGTAGCTGTAAATCTAT